ACCACATCCCCCCACATCCCCCCCTGGATCAGCCCCTGTTTTGTCAGCCGGTCATGACTTCTTATTGTAGTGCTAATGATCTTGACAGATGATCTATTTTCCATTCGAGCTCTGTTTGCCTTTCACTCATCCGCTGCAGTTGCTCAGAAATGCATCCAAGCATCTGAATCACATGGTCAGGGTCCGTACGAGGCAAGGAGACTTTAGGACACATCTAAACGAATAAACAAACAAACAGAAGAAAATGGTTATGCTATGGGCCAACTGTATCATTTAAAAAATCCATTTTCTAGAATAACTACTGTACCCCCAAAAACACTCATCGTTGATAAAACATGCCACCCAGTACTTTGCTATCAAAGGTTCCTTTACGTCTTTCTCTTTTCGTCGAGTCTTCTCCCCTTACTGGCTTTTATTTTTGTTGTTTTCGATCGTTAGGAAAACCTGGACTTAACTGTTTTTGGCAGAGAACGTTTTGTAGTTTATGCGTGCGCCTTATCAGTTGTTAGACGATGAGCTCTTGCTCAAACCCAAAACTGCCGAGTTCAGGAAGAGGTTCATTCCGTAGAATAAATAAAAACGAAAGCCAGTAAAGTGAAAAGACTGCGAAAAAAGATAGATAACAAAACGCGACCAGTATACTACCATGATAGCCATGCACCCATCAGGTATATGGTCCTCCCCCCCCCCTCCCTCCCTCCCTTCTCCTCTCTCGCAGGATGAAAATGATTTTTACAGTATAATCTACTCACCCTGAACAGCAAAATGATTCCTTTACTTCCGATACCAACATACGGATAAAAGGGACCAGAGTCAAAGCCATGGCAGTTGAGTTTAGCCTCTCCCACGACTCGGCCATTCAAAGTGAAAGAGACTGGCATTTTACCATCTTTTTGTTGATCATAAAGTATTTTGCAGCCAATGAGATCACCTCTATAAGCCATGGCATCTGTAATACAATATATCATCATCAATACCAATGGGATTTAGCAAAGCAGGCTTCGTCCACTAAAATCCCGTTTAGGATTTAAAAGTTATTTTTTGCGCATCAGTGGAGTGAAAACCCTCGAAGCAAAGGGAAAGGTAAAGTAACTTTATTTAACGTCTGTAGTTCCTTCAGCTACAAGGCTGCTATCCCAGGAAGCCGACGGTGTGCACTTTACCCCCTCTCTCAGTGTTCTGTTTAAGCAAGGGCACTAGGACACCGAATGTGGTTGGATTTCTATAGTTTCTTTTTTCCTTTCGATTATTTGAATTAAATTAACGTTATACTTGTTTACTTATCTTGTGTCCGTGTTCCTTCGTTCGCTGTTGTAATGCAGACGTTTTCATTCCAAAGCTCAAACGGTTTGAATAGCCTATGAGCGTTACTTCTTTAACGGCCGTTCCGTACTTGACTTTGTTTGTACTATACCAACAACAACGCGACCGCGCGATGCTCCTTACGTCAGTAATATTCAACCGTCCAGTTAATATGGTTAATCAAATTCACCTTAAGTTCTATATAGAGCTCTATATAGATACGTGTGGACGGTGAAAACGATTCGAATACGCTGTGTGTGGACGCAAATATTTTCGTATCCGCAAAAAATAATTTGCGGATACAAAAATTTCCGGATACGTGTGGACCGGGCCTAAATTCAAATCGATTTGAATTGTGGTATCAAATGGCCACATTTCAGTGTTGTACAAAATACCCCTTTATACATTTTGACCTATGGTCTTGTAACACTACACAAATTCATGATTTTATTTTTTATTTTTTATTTATTTTTAAACCAACCACGCCCTGTTTCTATTGTTTAACGTCGGGTTTGAATTTCGATAGCAAACCTGTCCCGGGTTTTGAATTCAGCATTAATACTAACAGGGGAGAGCGGGAATGAATTCAAAACCCGGGACAGGTTTACCATCGAAATTCAAACCCTCCATCAAACATTATAAACAGGGCTTGGTTGCTTTTTAAACCAGTTAAAATGCATTTGCTCGGATTTGAATTGAAATTCAAGACCTCGGTCCTGCAAACACTCGCCCTAGCGTTTTAACCTTTATTTAGAAAACTATTTAAACTTACCGTCGCCCTCTTTCCCTAATATCGAGTGGGCACTATCAAAGATTTTGCCGTCATCAATGTGATATCCTGCAGTATTGCCATGCCAGCCTGGAAATTTGTGAAGCTTGTAGTTTTCAGTCACAACTCCAATGGCAACGAAGCGTCTTTCGCCACTCTCTTGAATTAAAACCTGAAGAAAAAGTTAAAAAGACATTTTCATGAAGCATAGTTTAATCGCAAAGCTTAAATTGAACGCAATGGCAAAGATGGAATGATCGAGAAAATGAGATCATATGGGCGAGAGATTCCTAATATCTCTAAGGGATGAGGTAAAAGAGCTAAAGGCAAGAAGGTTAAGCTATCAAGTGCTCCTTATTACGAGTATTTAAAGCTACAAAGAAGGGAGAGAAGTGAGGATTGAGCCGTGGATCTGCGTACTAACCAATAGTCCCCTACACGGTTCCCTGCGCCATCTTGAAAGGTAGCCGTGCCTTTGCATCGAAGCGAGACGAACGGTGAGCTTGCAATGATAAAGACCTTTTTTAACACCTTGAACAATTATTCACACGTCTCTATCACCGCAAGCTCACCGTTGGTCTCGCTTCGATGCAAAGGCACGGCTACCTTTCAAGATGGCGCAGGGAACCGTGAAGAAGACTATTGAGATACGCCCACTCTTAAATAATCTCCCTTTGTAAATATTCTCAAGTACCTTAATACTAAGAACACATCTCAGACAAGCATTACAAGTGTTAAGCGTATGATTCTTACCTCGAACTCTGGGTATTCTTCGGACAGAGGATTGACATATCTCGCTCCGTGATGTTTAATTTCATCATTGCATTGACAAGAAACGTGTACAAGTCGTTGACCAACAACATCGATTCCTTCTGTCTTCCAGTCCTATAAAAGATCACTGTGTCGTCATAATGAAGCGCCTTTTGATGCCGTAGCAGCCCCAAAAACTCCAGGAAAAAATAACGATAGTTTAATCCTTAGTTTTTTGCCTACTAAGGAAGCTACAAATATTAAACGTCTGGAAGTTGTTGATGTCGTGGTAACAAGAAAAGCACTCCAGCGCTCTATACCTCTTTAAAACACAAGATAAATTATTTAACCAAAAATGTTTGAGACGTGCTCGGTAGAAATCAATTGCAACAGATTTTCCTTTTTCGCCCCTAAAAGAGGGAGTGAATTATTTCAACCCCTAAAAGATACGACGATAACTCCCTCTCCCCCCCCCCGTGCTATATGTGCTATATGACAGCATAGTGCAGTTTTCGTATGACTGTGAAAAGCTCAGTGCCGTAAGCGTGACGTGCCGTGACCGTGATACTTTCTAGAATTTTAATTGGCTGATTTTTTTCAYGCGCAATATGATTGGTCTAAAAGTGCCGTGATCTTGGCGTGACCGTGTCCGCGCCGTGTTTTGGGTATTAGATTGGATGAAGAGTACATTCTCGTGCAATGTGATTTGTCTGGCGTTATCCCTTGCTGTGTCACGACCGTGTTCGTGCCGTGAACTTTTCACAGTCATACGAAAACTGCGCTATTCACATGTACTTACAGGATGCCCATGTGGCTCGAGTCTTTTCCTTTCTCTTTGATCGTAGCGGAAAGTACGTTCAGCAATGTGCCCAATTAATTGATGACAACCTTCAGTTTCTTTCAAGACTCGATCCATTTTGTTGTCATCTAGCGTAAGCAAGTTAAAAAGACAAATGGTTTTTAGAAGATGGGTCATTGTGCCGGAATAGTGCTTGTCCCATCATTTCAAGGGGGATAGAAGGTGCAGTGCTTTATGAGTTACGATACGTTGGTAGGAGGCTGGTAAGAAAATTCTGCTAATAACATTATTTCCTTAGACTTGGAGCGACTTATCTCCTGTTTGCGGAGCCCTAAAATATATCAAACCTCCTGGAAAACACGGAACGGTTTCAAAACAAACGGGGTTTTGAGATATCTCCGGTAAAAAGGTAGCGACACAAGTCTACGGGAAGTTCATTCAAGATATACGTGCGCATTCATGACTTCGGCTCCCCTTAGTAACCGTTGCTATGTCCCACAAGCTAAACAAATTATCTAGAATATCTCATAATTTAAAACTCTGATCGAGAAAAATTGATTATAAATTGTTTCAATAGTTTACTGTCCTGCGAAAAGAATAGAAAATTGCCTCGTAATCCTTGTGGTACTCTTTAAAACAAATACTGTGTAGTTTGTGGGACAAGATTTTGATTCCATTGGGAAAACTGCTGCGACGGTGATTGGACCGCTATTGTCAGAGGAGGAACCAAGAGAGCAAGGAAAAATTTATTTTTTGACGATATTATGAAGGAATTTTAATCAAACGTCCGCCATCTTGTTTTCCCCCCACCATTTTGCTTTTTGCTTTGTCTTTACGCTTACCGTTTATTACGCAGGCGCTAGCCCCGGAAAAAAAAAACAAGATGGCGGACGTTTGATCAAAATTTCTTCATAATATCGTCAAGAAAACAAAATTCTGCCGTGCTCCCTTGGGGGAACCATGAATTTTATACGTACCTCCCAAAGGGAAGTTATAACCATAAATAGCAAAGTACTCAGACTGCAGATCTTCGACTAAGGTGTCAAATAGCTGTAAAATGTAGAATAATATTCTAGCTTATTGTATCATGCTTTCTTGTAAAAGTAAGATTCAAAAGAAAATGATAATTGATTGATTTTGAGTCAATCAACAAAGTTACTGAGTGAGAGAACTTACGGACTTTCTAGTTGCTTCCTTTTTACGCCTCTTTTCCTATGAGAAATAACAACAAATAATATTTACCAATGTTCATTCATCTAAACTGATGAAACAACTGATAAAACAACTGAAATAAGCACAGTAATTTTTTAGAGGCTTTCTCGACTTTCACATCCCCATAATGCCTTGCGTTTTTGGGGGTAACCAATCAAAAAACTGTCCCAAATTGAAAGGTTTCTTAATTGAATTTATACTATACCTGCTTTTATCTGTACAATGCTGATTATCAGTTTATTCCAAGTTACTTTTGCGTGTACAGATCATGAAGCGTTTTGGTCTTACAGAAAATGTATTAACTTACGAAAAAATGTTTACAATTTACCTTAAATGTCTTCAAGCTTCTATCTTTTTCTGTTTTTTACTTCTTCATTTTATCTTTGGATACCAAACAAGATATTTTCAACATTGTCTGATCAGCCTTCAGCAAAATAAGTGGGTTTTTACCCTCTGGTTACCCCCCAAAGACGCAAAGGATTATGGGGATGTGAAAGTCGAGAATAGAATAAATACGGCACATCCATGCCTTGAGGTTACGTGGGTTGTTGGTTTTTACTTGTGATGAAGTTCTTGAAAGTTCTACATGACCGTTCTTAACAATGCAAAAATGTAAAGGATAAGTGGCTTGGCGGCTCTCATGTATAAAGCGCTCGAAGGTGCGCCCTTCACCCCTTAAACTATCAGGAAGGTCTGACAATCAGCAAAAACGATTCCATTTTCTAGAACCCCTGCGTGGTTGGACGATCATACGGCCCTTAACCTGCCTACGTTAATAAAGGCTGGATACATGGAAAGGCTRGACACATGCAAATAGTTTTTCAGCGTTTTAAAGTCGTGCGTTACGTTCTAATTTAAATTGTCGTACGTTGTGATCAATACACACCTTCATCTCAATCATCTCAATCGAAGTTTCAGCAGTAGCGGTTATTGGCTAAAAATACATAACTTGTATTACAATTTGTTTCTAGCGTCATTAATTTTAATGTACTAATAGTATATCAGTAATTAATAATTTAGTGTAATAATCAAATTATATAGTCCATGTGACACCAGGGAAAAACGTTTGCGCATGCGTGCATTTCAGCACGTTTTCTAAGAATTTTGAAGAGTTTGAGTGAGAAAATACATGTTTGTTTTCTCCAAGTATMCAAAAAAGTTCRAGAGTATACTTTTGTCAGACCAAGATACTGTATYAAYAAACACAATATGAAAGAATTASCCTTAAGTTTCAAGCRTGGACACTAMGTTTTGGCATATTGTGAASTCCAATTCATCAGGCATGTTTGAAAGYCAAATTTACWTATGTTTKGACTAATTTGCATACGGATTTAGAGCATGCGCAGACGTTTTTTACTCGTGTCACTCCATGTAAGTAATGTTTACGATATGAGTGGCCGTGTTGTATCGGCTATACAAYCACGAGCAGGACGCGAAATGCACAATCTGTGAAATTCACTAAGTATTCATAAACCATTTGGGACATTTTGAATTCAYATAGGCCGTTTTTTCAAGGTTGCGTGCGCATCCAAATTTAAGGAACTTGACGGGCAACGATACCAGAACACGAGCTTTATGATGAGAACTATCATACATTTCTATGAAATTTTTTCCGATAAGAATTCATAAAATTGAATTTTCTCCTCTTTAAATATAAAACTGGCTTCTCAMTTTTACTGAATTTGCGTGTTTCAATTTTGTGGCCCGTCAAATTGGATGCGCACGCAACCTTGAGAAAACGGTCTATTAGATACAACCACCAGTGCTATATCAGAACAGTATAATCAACTAGTGGCTGTATCTGGTTGGCATTTTCATCGTAAGATTTATATCAGGTTTACATGATATTTATGTGACCTGATTTCTGMAATTGGATTGGCTTAGACCCTCATTACATAATAATTATTCATGAATTTTACAAATCTTACAAATTATTTTTTTCAGCTTCGCACGCAAAATCGCACTGTGCAAAAATCTTTATAAAACTGTTGTAGAAGATTTACCGGCATAGCCCTGTGGCGTGGCTTATTCCTCTTGCATTTGGTGCATCTTATCGTCGTGTAGATGTGTCGAAGCAGGATGAAAGTCAGGGAGATAATGTTGAAAGGAACTGGAACAGGATGGTACTTATTGTAAGTCCTAATTGTTGTGGCCTTTTTGTATGACCACTCGTAGAAGGCGTTGTCCTGAAACACAAAACAAAATTTTAATTTTAATCTTAATTAATTTTTTTTTTTTTTTTTTTTACTTAAAAGTAGGATTAAGGATGTTTCCAGAAAACAACGATGCCGGATGCGTAGATTTCAGTGTTTTTCAAGGTGTTCGCAGAGTTTGAACCTGAGACCCCATAGGCGAGACTTGAGTGCACTTCCGTRTGACATATTCTAGTTATCTATAGGAATTTATGATATTTATATATCATAGGTCATAGGTCTCTGTGCTGTCCAGTTAAGGAATTTATTGGACAAGGAAAAAGACAGTTACCTATAAGGAMTTAATAGATAGCTGCTATACTATTGATAATGTAGACTTGCCCCGGTGGATTCCGGATTGCAAGCGCTGGATTCCGGATTCCGAGACTCTGGATTCCGGATTCCAAGGGTCTGGATTACGGATTCCAAGGGTCTGGATTACGGATTCC